AGATAGATAGATAGATAGATAGATAGATAGATAGATAGATAGATAGATAGATAGATAGATAGATAGATAGATAGATAGATAGATAGATATGAATCACTTTTAGACTTTGTGTTGCATATATATTGTGTTCCTCCACATCATAGCGCAGGTTTGGACCCTCTGTGCTTACCTGAATTCAGGAGCCAGGTTGGATTTCAGGCCATAGAAGGCAGCAGATAAGGTCAAAAGCCAACGGGGAACAAAATTCCCATTCTCGCACTCCAAGTAGGGCGCAGACCATCTGACGTGCGTCTTGTCCGGAATAAAACTCTCTCCTCTTTTCACTGAATTGTCCACCGATCTGAAATCTTGGCTCAGCGCTCTTTTATGGAAATTTGGGTTCTTCCTGTCTTTTATTTCGTGGTACCACTCTGTCTCTGCCGTGCGGTTGTGCAGATGTCGGTGGGCCATGCTGGAGAGGTCTTGGAGTACTATTTCACCGCCGGCCCTGGTGGCTTGAAGAAGCACCGAGGGCCCCGGGAAGGATGAATCCCCGCTAAAAGTAACAACCGCCCGGTGAATCTTGGCGTCTCCCTCCAGTATACTCCTGACTAACGCGTGGTACCACTCAATGTCACGCCGGAGGTTGTGCTCCCTGGACCTGTTGGCTTGCAGGATCATGTTGAGGAAGTTTGTGGCGTGCAGCACCGTATCCAGCACGCTGCTCATGGAGTAATGCGGGGTAGCGTGTGACCTTCCCCGCAGAGAGGTGAGCTCGTACTTTCGCGAGCAGTTGGCATGCTTTAAGGTGGTCGAGTCCCCGGTGTGTAAAAAAGCCGTGACGACCCTGGGTAGAAGCTCGTCTGTCTTCTGCGGCAGCTCCGCCGTCTCCCCGGCAGCGTGATGAGGCGCACGGAGATGCGCCAGCTGCCAGCGGTGCGTCTGAGCGCCGTGAATCGCCTCCCGTGCCCCGTTATCCTCCCCGTGCCCTGACCATTCCGCGTATTTATGGTTTGATCCAATCACAAATCCAACTTGCAGCAGCAGCGACAGCCGGAAAACAGCCATCTCCCTCAAGAGAGCGACCACAGATGTTTGGGGGATTGCTGCTCGGAATTAACAGTGTCGTCGGGCGAGTGTGCTGTAGAAAAAACACAGAGAACCTATCAAATTGCCCCGCTAAACCATCGCTTCACCACTTGTAGGATATTCTTCTGAGCTCCACGCCTCTGTTCTTGAAATCACAAAAAGAGGGAAACCCGCCAGGAACCCCTTCTCTCGTCAAATGCCTTCTCCTTCCTCACAGATGCCTCATACAGCTTGTTGATGTTGAGTATCCGCTTGCAGCTGTTTCCCCCCACCTCTCTCTCTCCCTCTCTTTCACACACTGTGGACAAGACTGTGTTGGCTTTGCTGTGCCGCGGACGTTCTCCTTCTGCGTGTAGGCTACACAGACTGAATCAAAACGAGGAGGAGGGAGGGGTAAGGGGCGGTTATTATTATATTTATATGCTTTTTTTAGGAGGCACCGAGTCGATGAGCTTCTCACTTGGATGGCAAACGCACTCCGCCCTCTTCCGACCACAGCAAGCATTAAGCAGGCCTATAAAAGCCACGAAGAAGCAACATCAGGATCCGTGCGCTTTCAAAGCCCGTCGTCTTCGTCGTCTCATAGGGGCTCCAGGAGCGCCATTGATCCGCGTGTGGCCGCTTCTTCTGTCAATCTCGGAGCGGTGTTTGGTGGAGCGGTGAAGGAGCTGTCCGGCGCTGAAACCGATGAAGCACTGAAGGAGCTGTCCGACGCTGAAACAGACAAAGTCACCCTCAGCCGATTTATCACAATCAAGCACTTAATTTTAGATCAATTTTCGGAGACTAAGATTTTTTTTCTATCATCAGTGAGGGGAAAGCTTTATTAAATACGATTTGATTCATGATTGTAAACTTTTGGAGCAAGGTGCAGAGTGGATTCATCTTTTCTTTCTAAATTTCTGCTATCTTCAGATCTGAAAGCTGAAATGCTTCTGACTAAGAATTTATCTGCGTTTCTCTGATTTTCACCTGCTTCCACAACAATTCACCTGACCTTCACATTTAAAAATATGCTGGTGTATTGTTGGATAGATGAATAAGTGCACCACCAAATCTGAAGTCATTTGGATGAGAGGTTCTCTTGTTTTGGCTAAAGGTTTTTCTACAATAGAAATTAAAGCCAAGCCTCCAATCTCAGTTTAACCACAACAACAACGTGCTGCTCACTTAAACCTTGTGATGATGCCTGTGTTGGCTTAAGACTTTCTTTTTTGAGTTGTTTTCATCTAATATATGATTGTGTGTTTTCTGATTGGTTTCATTGTTGTTTATATGCCTGCAGTAATCTTTCCAAGGAGCCCTCTGTGTATAAATAGTCCTGTCTTCCCTTCAGTATGGGGCACAGCATGCATCCGTCATGCTCAGCTGTTAGGTTTCCAACTGTGTGATCTTCAGTTTTTGGATTTACTTTGTTTCTGAACTTTGTTTATGGTCTAAAAAAGATCCATGCCCTCTTTATCACGCCTTTTGGTCCAAAACTGCATTGTTGTGCAGGGAAGTAAGAGCAGGTAGAAAAGTTCTGACTTTTCCAACATTTTGTCACTCTTTTGTTCTAAGATTCAAACTGGTTCCTCTAAAATACAGCTGGTATGTTTGGGTTTAATTTACATAAAAAGTCAGTCTGTGTCACTCACTGTTAATATTTAGACAGGCACGCACAGACACACACAAACACACACACACAGTGAATCTATCCTTACCGCACTTTTAAAGCAATAACTTTGTGTTTACCTACATTTGATGAGTTTAGGAGATACGACTGAATTGTAGGTACAAAAACTGACCACGAGATAACTGTGTTTAACTTTTGGGGGGCAATAAAATGTCCCCAAGCTCTAAAAACTCTATATTTGGACAATTTCCTTTGTGTGTTCCTCAGTCTGTTCCTCTCAGTCTTTTCCTGACCTAAAATGTAAAGCAAACAAAAAAAAAAATGTAAAAACAGAAAGAAATTAGAAAAAATACACATTTTGGTTATGTAAGTTGAATGAAAAGCATTTAATATTTTCTGCAGTATTTCTGTCTTTATTTCTGTGACACAGTGGTGCAGAAGGTAACAGCAAAAAGATTCTGGAGTTGAACTTTCATGAGATCTTCAGTCTCCCTGCGAACCTAACATGCATGTCCAAAGCCTTGCATGGTATGCATACTCAAGACATCACTGAATGCACACATTAATAAGGCATGTAGACACACCTATCATTCACATTGGCACGCAGTAAAATCAAATGTGAGATCAGAAAACCTTTGAAGCTTTGGTTAAAATTAAAGAAGTGCTGTGCAAATACCCGTTCACATCTGAATAAATAACAAATATATGTAATATATAAATTAATGTGTCCCCCTGCCTCTAATTTTACCCACTTTTTAAGAGCTTTGATTAACATTATGGTACAAAATTTTCACCAGAGGTTCAAGTGCAAATAAGCATCATACAGTAGTAGTGCTTTAGCATGTAACACCCCAGTTATATCTCAAAACATATAATTAGGTGCTGTATTTTATGAGAGAATAAGTTAAGTCTTTTTTTGCAACATATTGTTTTTTTCTATAAATTCTAATAAAAACTAGTGTTAGACATGTAAAAGTGCACTAACAGATGTGGGATTTTACTACACAGGAAAAAGAGGAACATGATGAGTTTTTTTATGTTATCTCCAATCCCTCTTCTTATCAGTTGATGCTCTTACATACACGCACACTCTCTCCAGCTCTGCCTTCATCCTGGGTGTAGGGCCATCTCATGTCATGCTGTGCAGTCCAGAGGCATCTCGCCTAGGAAGCAGGGCGAGGGAAGACAGGCATGACGGAGGGTGACAGAGCTGTGCAGCAGCCATGAAAGATGCAGAAAGTTAAAACCAGAAGACTTTTCTTTTTTGGGGAGGGGGGTTAAGTTCTACTTAGAGTAAAGCTGAATCCAAGGCTCCTTACTTCTCTTCCTTTGTTAAACTCTCCATATCTGCTAGTAAAGAGCCGACAACAAGACACCGGCAGCTACCGTTGCAGCACCGCTGTACACAAAACACTTGCTCCTAAGCAATCTGATTAGCATTCACTCTGCATTACCCTAGAGTGGAAAAAGCAGTAAGAACCTCTTTATTCAGTTTATCTGTCCCAATTCAGTGTGTTGTTTTATTCTTTGGAAAGTCTTCAAATAAGAATACTTACAATTTACATTCTAATATTTAAAGTTTATATGCACACTAAATGTTAACCTATCTGCAGCAACAAGCATAAAGCATATCTATAATTAAGTTATTTCCTTTCTGTTTGGTCTCCAGCGGTTTATAGTTCTGTGCAAAATGCTACAAATGAATGCAACTGAAACAATAGAAAAATTCTAAACATCAGTCATGATCACAAGGATGGTGGTGGTAGCTTTGGTGGACATAACGCTTCCTTTTGAGGTGTGAGCCATCTGTATGGGTTCTTGCTTTTAATGCGCTGCCAGTTGGAGGCCATTATGATGAATATGCCACCAACACCACTTCCTGAAACTGAGAAATTGTGGTGCAGCTTAATTATGGACAGTTTGGAATAATGTGACATTTGAATGGCATGTAAATGAAGTAAAGGGTGAGGGGGACTATTGTGGCAGCTTTGCAATTTTTTTTGAGTCCCGATTGCTTCTGAAATCTATGTAATGGTATTTCAGGGCACTATTCAAAGCCACAAACTGGCAGCGGTGGCTCAGGAGTTAGAGTCATCCACTAATCAGCTCCTCCAGTCTGCATGGTGAAGTTTCCTGAAGCAAGAAACTAAACCCCAGATTGTCCGTGATGTATCTATCGATGTGTGAGTGTGATAAATAAAGGCCTGTATGAATGAGTGGGTGAAAGGGGCTTGTAGTATAAAGCCCTTTGAGTGGTTAATAAGAGGGAAAAAGCACAATATAAATGCCACTCTTTATTGTCTAACCAGGCAGCGATAAAAAGAGTAGAAAAATAGATATTCACGTTAGTAATTCATAAACATTCATTTAACTTTTGCAGCGATTTATCCAGATAAAAGTCATCTTATCTCTCTGATTATCTTAATGCAAATAATGGCATTAAGATAACTATCAGGATTTCCTTAACTGGTAGGTTTTAGACAACATCACACGCTCGCCTGCCTTAATTCGTCATGGCATATATTCAAGGTGCTGGAAAGATTCCTTGGAGACTTTGGTCCATACTGACATGATATCATAATACAGTTTGATTTGCTGGCTGCGTTTGATCCATCATGCAACTCTTCTATTCCTTTACATCCCAAATAAGTCCTTCCTCAATTTTAAACAAACCATAAACAATGCAAAGTTTTTGTCTCAAGATTTTTTTTAAATTACATCTTCTCACTAAATGCAGCAAACGTATTTTTAAAAAAACATAAAACTAGTTTGGTTTATCAATTAGTAAAATTACAAATTACTATATTGACGTTTCTAACGTAAAATAACAGAAACGTTTTATTTACTTTTACACAGAAAAAATATAAACATAATATGCTAAGATGCCTTCTTTATTTAAAAGATAAAATTACTGAAAACTAGCTTTATGCTGTACAAACATATCAAAAATGTGATGAAATTAGTGTAAAATAACACAAAAAAATGACAGAGGAAAAAGGAATTTTACTGTAATTTTACATTGGTTTGTTTATTCATTAACAGACATGTTGTGAAATTACAGAGGTTATCACCACAAAACTGGTGGAAAAATTGTATCAATGTTTTTTTATGAATGTATAAAATCTGCAAGTATTGTGTCAAAAGTTATCATTACGCTAATTTCACAGTTGATGTATTTCATATTACCAAAATTGGTAAAGGTTTAGTAAAATAATAACAATAGAAACTATTGAACCAACTCTTCCCTCTCATGATATTAAGAGGAGAGCGGACTTGCTAGCAATGCTAATGGCTGAGGTGATGTTAGCCGTTTTAGCTTCTCAGCTACCTGTACAAAATAATTAGCATTAAGTAGTATGCCTCTTTGGATTTAGACAGATTTATCTATTTACCTATTTAAGTGTCCCCTGTTCCCACATTTGTTATTCTTTCTCTCGGCAGATTCATTATGACTTGTTGGTGTCAAGGGCTAGTGAAAAGGTGAGTTTGCACCATATGCGTTTTAGGGATGTTCAGAAATTACACTTATATTTACGTGAAAACCCTGAAAGATTATATATATATACATATATCGAATGAAATTTGAAAATATAGAATGAAACACTTGAGTATATAGAATGAATGAACCTCATGTTTAGAGTTGAGGTTTTTCTGAATTTTCTGCCTTTACAAAATGGCATCAGCTGAACTATTTCAGTATTTTGTAGATTTTGAGTCTATATTGCATCAACTTGAAAATCAC